AGATAATAATGGATTCAGGAGTCTTTTTGACTGTTTCTCCAGGAACCTATCATGTGAGAACACGGTGTGTTTGTAGGTGTTGGGGAAGTCGGGTGGTGTGGTGAAGCCCTTTTCTATTCTAATACAGAGAGCTTGTGTCCCAGAGATTTGGTTATCAGGCCTCCCTCTGCCATGTCCTAGTTTGCTACCTGACCCTGGACAACTCTGTTGATAGCTGTAAGTTCTTCCTCTTATAAAACAGTGATATTATTCCACATTCTGGATTTGCTTTTATAGTCTTGTTATGGCATCTTTAAAAAATTTAATAGGCTCTAGCAATGTAGTATTTTAAATAATCTATTATAGGTCTGTCATTCCTGAATCGTTATTTTTGATGATGCATTTAATCTGCAGTTTAGGAACTGATTGCCCTTTGAAGTTTCCTTTATAAGTTAATTAGCACTTAGTAATCTTTCCAGTAGAAGGTCTAAATGGTGGTTTCTTTCTCTGACCTAAAAGTGTTTTACTCATTAGATGAACCACTCATGGTATTGTTTCTGTGGAGGAAATACACTCTGGATTCCAACCAGTATTCCAAAATCTTACTTTTTACAGTTTGTTTTAATGATTAGAATAGTTCTCTGCTTCCAACTTCATTATCTCCCAGAATTTGGGTAGAGAAAGGGACCTTTCTGGTTCTTACCATCCTAACAACGATCATAGTGCTTGGCACAAAATTGCTTCTCCAGAAATATATGAACAAAGAGCTCACTCTTTGTCCCAGGCTGGATGGGCTTTTTGGAAACAAGGTTCAAAAGCGGGGGGCGGAGGGACAGGGTATATGCTTCTATGGAGGACCTGGATGGAGCAAGATACTGGAGGGAGGTAGAGATGGAAACTCTCGCAGCTTCGATTAGAACAGGTGAATGGTCAGTGTAAAGCGAAGCATAAACGATACAAATATATAGACTTAAGGATTGCCTTGCTGAGAAAGTCCAGACAAGTGTGAAGATATGTGTGTATGTGAGTGCTCTGCACAATTTTTGCTGTAGTTAAAAATTTCTCTGGAGGTTGACAATAATCAGTGATCTTATTTTTCAAGTAGTAGCTCCTAAAATGTTAAAACCAATAGGTGAAAGAACATCTGTGGGGGAACAGAATATTCCCAGTGTGTCCAAGTGTCACCCGTAGATAATTTGCTAAATGCAGTGAAGAAATAAACAGACCTTTAAAAGGAAGAGATCTGTCAGTCACCAGTTCAACCACGGACATGGCCTTTTTCTTTTTTCTTGAAGGGTAGGGTTGGGTGGGGATGAATTCTGGTAGAACCTTTTGTCTATTATGTTCACATGTTCATATATTCACATGTTCTTCCACTGGCTTTTTTGGTACACGTATAAAAGTCAAGACCCTTTTTTTCTCCTAGAAGGTCATACATGATCGTTCCTGCCTACTTCTTCAACCTCATCTGGTTCCATTTTCCCTTTTTCTCATTAAGTGTCAATTATACTGGCCTTCTTAAGTTTGTTTCTAATCCTGAGGCCTTGTTTTCCATTATTTTCCCTGTCTGTCTGGAGCTCTGCTTTCAGATCTTTGCATGCCTGGGTCTCTTGTCTTTCATGTCTTTTGTAAATGTCATTTAAGAGAAACCCTTCCTGAATAACCAGTGGAAACTTGCAGTTGATGTTTAACATGATTGTATTTTTTCATATTACTACCTCTGTTTTTTTTCTTGCCCTTTTTTTAAAACAGAAATCACTTCTACTAGAATGTAAGTGTCATGAAGCCAGGGAAACTGCTTTGTTCGCTGCTTTACTCTCAGCCCCTAGAACAGTGCTTGGTACGCAGCAGGCTTTCGGTAGTTTTACTGAATAAATCTGTTAATTAGCTGCCATGTGGTTCAATGTAAACTACTCTTTGATTCAAAATTCACCGCTTTCCTTTATTCACCAAATACCTGTTCAACAAGCATAGATCATGGATCTTGTTGGGCTCCTGGGACTACAAAGCTGTGGTTAGATATCAGTTCTGTCCCTCAAGGAAGACAGTAGTAGATACTGATTAAGACCAGTGGCTTTGGTGTTCAAGTCTAAGCCCTGCTATTTTGTAGATTGCGGCCTTTGCAAGGTAAGGTCTCTGATTCTTCACTTTTCTACTTAAAAGATGGGGATAATAGTATCTACTACACAGAATTATTAGGAATAAATAAGTGAATAAAGAAAGCATTTAGTACAATGCTTGGCATATAATATATATGCTCAGATTTTGGTGCTTTTAAAAAATTTTTTTATTTTAGCTGGCTGCTCTTCCCCTTATTGGGGAAGAATCACTGAATTCGTGTTCTTTATGTCATAATGGTTCCTTATGAGAGCTGCAGATCAGTGCTCGTCTACTCTTCCTCTGCAGGAACGTGTAATAGAAACTGCTGTACATTTTGTCATCCACTGCATTCGCTGGACTTTCAGATGTACCTCAGTTTTAGATATTCAAAAGTTGTGCTGCTCAGACTTTGGAAGTTAGAATTACCTAGAGAACTTACTAGGAACTTAAAAATTTTTGACCTGCAGCCTTTGTTTTCACAATGTAGGTTTGGAGAGAGAATTGAGAATTTTTATTTCTGGGATGTGTTGCTGGTGTTGGCAGTCCTTGGACCACACTTTGAGTAAGACTTTTCCAGACTTATGCTAATATAGTAGCCAATAGCTGCATGTGGCTATGGAGTACTTGAAATGTGGTTAGTTCAAAATAAGATATGGTTTGGGGCGCCTGGGTGGCTCAGTTGTTAAGTGTCTGCCTTTGGCTCAGGTCATGATCCCAGGGTCCTGGGATTGAGCCCCGCATCAGGCTCCCTGCTCAGTGGGAAGCCTGCTTCTCCCTCTGCCTACCACTCCCCCTTGCTTGTGCGCGCGCGCTCTCTCTCTCTCTCTCTCTCTGGCAAATAAATAAATAAAATCTTCAAAATAAGGTATGCTTTAAGTATACACAGGATATAAAATACACAGGATTTTGAAGACTTAGTATAAAAAAAGCACAGAATATCTAAATTAGTTTTTTCAAAATATTGATTATATGTTGAAATGATAATATTTTGGATATATTGAGTTAAATATGATATAATCTTAAAAATAATTCCACATATTTCTTTTCACTTCTTAACACGATTGCTAGAAAATGTAAAATTGCACACATGGCTTGCTTTTGTGCCTTGCATTGTATTTCTCCTAGACAGAAAAACATACTGCCTCTCTCCTTAAAATACCTTCTAGGGCCTCCATAAAGTAAATTGCTCTCAGGTAGCCTGTCTTTGAAATCATACATGACCAACAAGCCCTCTAAATTGAGTGTAAATCCATTCACTTATTTTCAAGTGATAGTGAACACAGATTTAAATTGTTGAGGGAGCTCCCAGTTAGTGAGGGAGGCACTTTATAAGGTATCCTCCTCAGTTCTAAAATACAAGAACAGACTACCAATTTAAAATCTCCACCTCCACCTCCATTGCTAATTGCTAGTATTTTGTCTGATCCTAGTTATTGTGTCCTAGCCCTGCTTTACTAACATAGGCTTTAGAATGGTTAGTTTTCCTTGACAGGTGTAATACTTTGGGTCATTTCTTGTTGAGTCAGCATTTGGGACCTTCCGTTTTCATTAGTTATTGCAACTTAATTACAACTCTTAGGAAGTGTTTGCTTTGGCTATGTTTATGGATTAATGACCTTCAGACTTTTACTGTCTGGAACAGTTTTCAGTTTTAGATACAACTACAATCACAAAGCTAATTCTCAGTCACTTCTGCACTGAGGTTTATTTTCTGTCTACTTTTAGCTTTTAATTTTAATCTTATATACTTCATATAAGTGTATTGTGAACAATTAGACATACTTGGGTAAGTATACAGTTGTATACTGTTTTGGGGGTGATTAGGAACAATGCTAGAGAATTCAGTAAATTGCTAAATGAACTTTTAGAATGGCCTCAGATGACCTGGTATAGGATTAGATGATACAACTCTTAAGATCCTTTCTAACTTAGGGCTTCTATTTTTATATTATATTTTGTATTTGTTGACTTAGTCCATTTTTTCCCCCACAGTATTTCTTGACTATACGTTTGTCTTTTAACTTATAGACACATATTTTTGGTGGCATATAAGATGATGTTCTGAGGCATTTAGCAATGAGTCAAAGAACTTCTTTTTCATTTTTCTTCTTTTGATCTTAACTAAGGATATAGTGGTTAATTCTTTTATAACACTTATTAATCTCCTTAAGACAGAAGGCATTGTGCTTAGTCTTAGGCAGATGGTGATACTCAATCAGAATTAAGTAGCTTTGGGTTTTGTGTGTGGGTTTCTTGTTTGTTCTCCGTTTACTATTACCTTCTATTTATGGGACAATGAAGGCAGTTTCCATCAGAAATAAATTGATTTGGGGATGCCTGGGTGGCTCAGTCAGTTAAACGTCTGCCTTCAGCTCAGGTCATGATCCCAGGGTTCTGGGATCAAGTCCGCATCCAGCTCCTTGCTCAGCAGGGAGCCTGCTTCTCCCTCTGCCTGTTCCTCCCCCTGCTTGTGCTCTCTTTCTCTCTCTGACAAATAAATAAAAATTTTAAGGGCGCCTGGGTGGCTTAGTTGGTTAAGCGACTGCCTTCAGCTCAGGTCACGACCCCGGGGTCCTGGGATCAAGTCCCGCGTCGGGCTCCCGGCTCAGCAGGGAACTCTGCTTCTCCCTCTGATCCTCTCCCCTCTTAGGCTGTTTCTCTCTCTCTCTCTCTCAAATAAAATCTTTAAAAAAAAAAAAAAAAACTTAAAAAAATGATAAATTGATTTAAGCAAAAGCGATTTGAATTACTGGAATTTTAGAGTATCGGTGATAACATAGTAAAAATAGAAATCCAGCAGAAACGTGAAGAGTAGGTGAATGATTGAAGTATGGGAGTAATTCAGAACATTGACGCTTTTTCTCTGTTACTGTTAGTTTTTTATGTATGTTTATTCAAGTATGTTAACGTATTGTTACCAGGTTTCCATGGATCTCAATAGTGCCAGCACTGTTGTTCTTCAGGTCTTAACACAGGCCACCAGTCAGGATACCGCTGTGTTAAAACCAGCAGAGGAGCAGTTGAAACAGTGGGAGACACAGCCAGGTTTCTATTCAGTGTTGCTGGTAAGTTGTTCTAAAATAGTTTACTATTATTTTTAATAAAATGAGACACTGTTATTTTAATTGTTCTAAGAATCTACTTGTATTGGTGGTTTACTTTAGTGAAACTGATCTAAATGTCATTGCCACTGCCATTTATTAATTCAGGGCGTGACTCTTGAGGGTGTTGAAATGTTTGTTGATTGTTGAATAAAAAAGTGAGCAGGGTATTGGTTGTTTCTGCTCAGAAGGCAGCACTGTGCTGATACTCTGTTTTAGCATGTTAATGCTGACCTCAGGGCTGTACGTAGTACACTTTCCTGTTTTGTCTTCATTCTTGCCCCAGTTAATTTATGTTGTCAGAGTTGTTCAGGTCTCCCCATGCAGCATCAGTTTGGTCTACCTTGCTCACTGTGTTACTTCAAAGCATGGTTTTCTTTTGCCCCTTCTAAAAATTTCATTTTCTTGACACATTGGTCTTTTCCTGGGTGAAAATGGAAAAGAGTATGGTAATTAACAGTATATGCTTTAACTAAACTTTACTAGGAGTTCAAAGCTTTTGGTTAATCAAAATTATTTTCTCAATGCCAGAATAAAAGAATGTCTTTTTGTATTGAGGGTCTTTCTGATTTTTTTTTTTCCCCTGACAATTTTAGAATTCTGGTTAACGTTTGAGATTTGCTTTTGGCAAGGGCAGTGAGCTACCAGTTGGATCACAAACTGATTGAGTTTTGGTACTGGGTTGCAAATGCAAAGTAAACTGTTCACTGTATCTTGTAAAAATAGAAAATTGTGGAAGTTGACAGACGTGTTTTTTTACTTCATGGCTAAAATATTTGAGTTATTTGGTAAACTTAAGAAGATACTGGTCATGTCTAGAGTCATACTTGATATTCTGAACATAACATGCAGTTTGGGTATTTGGCTTTGTAGAAAAAAGGTAAAACCAGATTGAATAAAAAATTTTTTTTTCTTTAGAACATTGATTTTTAAAGATAAAGAAAATATTCTGTCCTTATTTGGATAATCCCAGTATCATGTTTGTAAAATTTGGGTGCAGTATAAATCTTTAGAATATTTCTGAGTATCCTTATTTTTCGTATGCTTTTTTAAATGAACATGCTGTATAATTAGCCTTGTGTTTTTTTTAGGCCAAAATATAAAACATTTTGGTGTTTCTTACTTTGGTTACTCCTGGACCTTAAAAAAACCAATAGTCTTTTAACTATTGACTTTTTGTGCATTGTATGAATTATTAATAATATTAAGTGCCTAAGCCTTTTGTTTTTATATTTATTAACTCTGCTTTTCTTCTTAGAGGGGTAGTAAAATTGCTTTAGATGGAGTAGATTGTATTTATAATAGATGGAAAACGTTAAGTTAAAGGCAGGAATTTTTAATTTTTTCCTCAACTCACTGTCTTGGCACTTTTAATCTGTTGTAGCCTTAGCTGTTCTTTTTAGTTTGGAGGTCCTGAATTTGTACATTTGATCCTCAGATTTGTGTTCCAGTCCTATTGTTCAAAATACTTAAGGAATATTTCTACTTGGATTTACACCTGCAGCTTGACTTTCCTTGGTTACCCAAGTGCAGCTGACACAGGCTGATATCCACCATCTTTCCATAGTATTCCCACATTACCTCCATTCATTTGTTCATTTGCTCCATGGATATTTATGACAAAGTCTGTTGTGGAAGGTAGACATGTTAAGTGTTAAAATCGAATGTGATTAATATGGTGGGAGAAGACCATTCTTTGCAAAGACAACCCAAAAGAAGGTCTCCGACTTCGTTGTCAGGGGTGTTAAGGAGTAAGTGGGCATTACACAACTATCCTTGTAATCTTTTTTTTTGTGTGTATGTACATGATTTTCTAAAAATGGAATTATACATACCGGTTTTTAGATAGTTTACATGCAGTGTTTTTTTTATAGTAAGGAATATATATCTACATCATTGTTTTGATTTTGAGGTTTTCTCACACAAGGTTATGTTTAAGAGGTCACCTCTGGGATTTGAGTTGTTTTTGGTCTGAGGTGTAGTGCAGTTTCAGTCAATTAACATATTCCTGTGTTTGCTATGTACCCACTATTTTAGGTACATTTTTTATAAGGAAATAAAATACTTTAATTCTGTTTTGGTCATGTTTTAAATTACAGTGTTAATATTTGTTTTATTTTTATTTCCAATTACAAGTATGTTATAAATTTTTGATAATGTTAATAAATTTTTGGTAAAAATGTGTAAAGGTCACAGAACAATTGTAATTTTCACCTTGATGATTAAGATCTTGTTGCATGTTTAGCTTGCACAGTCATTTTTATGATCTCCCACTGCTCTGCAAAACAAGGACTGCCTGTATTTGGGTTAATGTTCTGCTGCCATACTTATTTGTAAGCATAATTGTTTTGATAAGGAGGATACTTTGAAATGGTTTATTTCATAGCATGTGCTAAGAATCCAGGGGTCTTGACTCCTTAGAATCTTTGAATATATGCTTTGGCGGGTCTATTTTTTTTTTTTTTTTTTAATTGAGAAGGTGTTTATTTCAGTGTTTTGTATGTGTGTAGGTTGTGATACATGATTAGGTTTGTTTGAGTTTAATTTTTTATTTGGAAAATTTTCAAACATACCTACAGGTAGACTAGTTTAATGAGTCCCAGATATTTATTACTCAGCTTAAAAAATTAACATACTTCTACCAGGTATGCTTTCTCATATGAATTGTAGAGCTATAGATACTTAGAATATATAATCTCTGTAGTGATAAAATTTAAGTGAAGCATATAAAGTATTATCCGTACTTTAATATTGGTATAGTAATTTAACTTATGACATGTTCATTTTAATACTATGTTTTTTATTTACAGAATATTTTCACAAACCACACTCTGGATATAAATGTAAGGTGGCTTGCTGTGCTGTATTTTAAGAATGGAATTGATCGTTACTGGAGACGTGTAGCGCCTCAGTAAGTTCCGTCACTCTTCCTTTCCCAGTGTAATCCTTTCCAGATTCAGGGAGGTATAAGAACGTTCCTATTAATCTTTATTCTTTACATGGCAGGATGCATTTGTGCTTATTTCAGCACACATACTAAAATTGGAAGTGCAGGGAAGGTTAGCACGGTCCCTTTGGAGGGTGACATTCATGTTCGTGAAGCATGTGATATTTAAAAGAAAAATGTGTTAACTACTGAAGAAGTAAAGTGTTTTGCATAAGTCAATGTTCGTATTATTGCTTTTCTCCATGAGTTTTTTTATTTGGGGAGGGATATTGGGGATTTCTTGATGTCCTCTGCTTTTGAGGATATCTAATATTATGGATACAAAACAAATGCTGAGTGAATGAGTCATGTTGAAAGAAGTCTTTTTTTTTTTTCTTTTTTTTTAAGAGAAATATGAGGTTAGTTAGGAATTTGGAAAAAGGTCATTGAGAAGGAAATCCCAGGTCCTTTCTGAGCCAGCTGGATATTAATTTCCAAGTCTTTTGCATAATTTCCTTTGTGGGTGGGAATGGGGTAGTAGACATTTGTAATCTCATCAGATTCGGTTGTAATTGCTCCGTAGATGGTTAAGCGAACAGATTTCTCTTAATAGTTAATTACATGTTATATGATTGATGGAAATGCAATGTAGACATGACTCTGGAATTTCTTTGATAGAATATAGTGAACTTTGCCAAAAAAGTAACATGGTCTTTGTTCTCCAGTAGATGGCACTGTAGCTCTTTATGTTCTTATATTCGTAAGTCCTTTAAAAACCATAAACCTGTCAGAGGACTTCAAGGTGCATATAAAATATGCCCTTGAATAATATCAGAAGCAACTAGAATATTTTAAGGCTGCACTTAGGATACTGTAATGTAAAGCAAACCCTTTGTCTTATTTTAGAATTCATAAGTATTTAGTGATGAGCAATTGTGTGACTGAGTTCCTGGAACCATCACAGCAGTGCATACTTCTCTCCTGCTGTGTCCAGTTACATTTTAGATGGCTTCCAAAGTGCAGGGAGCAAAGATTAGTTACAGAATTCATTTAAATATAGCACACTTAAAACATCTGCTTGTTTGTGTTCTTGTCTAAGTTTCATCTTATGTAGTTCATGCCCCACCACTATTTTCATAGAATGAGGATTAATTTAAGCTTATATATTATTACTATATACAGTGCAACTTTAACTGGGTCCTAATTAATTAGATACTCTACAGTTTCTGCTTGGACTATAGTCTGAATTCATCTAATGATAGTATGTGCATGAAATTAAAGGTGCAGTGTTAACTTTTCTCTAGGTTAATAGCTTGTTTAACATGTACATATTTTTTTGCGTATTCACTATCTTGGTAGCTAATCATTGTATTATATTCTCTTATTGGTAGCTAATCATTGTATTATATTCTCTTAGTTAAAATTATGAAAACTCTTGAACCTGGCTTCCTGACATAGAAGAAAACTTGAATTTCAAGCTTGAAGCAAAAGATTTTGGTAGAAAACATGATTTCACGGGTACGGCACAGTTATAAAAGGATTTAAGAGATCCTTTCTCATGGGAAAGCACAGACTTGCCTTAGGCATTCATTCTTTTCACCTGAATGTTAATCTTGTTTGCTCATTTGTTTACTCGCTGTTAAGGTTTAAAGAAACTTTTACGGAAGTGTAATATAAAACATAACTGAAAAAGTGCACAAATGGTGGGTGGAGTTAGAATGTTGGTAATGTGGCCACATCCGTGTAACTACCCCATGGAACTAGGTGGAACATGACTGGCGCCCTAGAAGCCTCCCACCTGCCCCTCACAGTCACCTATCCACCCTCTCTCCAGCAGCATTTGAACATCTCTCACTATTTTGATTAGTTTTTACCTGTTTCTGAACGTCATAAAAATGGAAGTCTTATAGTATATGTTGTTTTTGTGTCTGACTTTTATTCAGGATTACACCTGTGAGATTTATCCATGTAGTTGCATGAAAAGCTCACTCTTAGCTACGAGTAAGACATTCCATTTTAGGACCATCACGTATCTATTTGTTCTGTTGATGGGCATTAAGGTTGTTCCTAGCTTTTGGCTATTAAAAATAATGCTTCTTTGAAAACTCTTTTGGGTATCATATTGCACATAAGTGTGCATTTTATTGTCATGGATGGCCGGATGTATATTCAGCTTTAGTAGATACTATCACTTGGTTTTCAAAGTGTTAGTATTTGCAGCATATCAGTGTTGGCTTTTTGCTCCACATTCTTCTAGCACGCTTGGTCTGATCTGTCATTTTGGTAGCTTTCCCATTTTTCTGATGAACTATGAGTACCTTTTTCATATACTTATTAGTCATTTGGATGTCCTGTTTTATGAAGGGCCTTCCATTTGTACATAAAAAAATGGGTTATCTTATTGATTTGTGGGACTTTGTATGTATTTTGGACGTAGGTCCTTTGTTGAAACTATGTACTGAAAATATTTCCTCCTGCTTTGTCATGTGCCCGTCAGTTTCTTATGTTTTTAGATGAAGAGAAATTCTTAATTTTAATGAGGTTCAATTTAGCTAGTTTTATATTTAATTCTTTTGGGGCCCATTTACAAAAATTTTGCTCCTTCCAAGATTATGAAAATAATCTTGGTTTTCTGCTAGAAGCTTTGTGTTATGTTTCACATCTGTCTGAAAGTGATTTCTGTGTAAGGGGTGTATGCGAAGGAGGCCAAGCAGCCGTCACTCTTGCCCTGTCTCATTTCTGTGGTTCCCGTGTCAGGGATCAGGACTTGCACCTGGAACGGTCTGTGTTTGGATTCTCTCTTTTGTCCTCTGGCCTGTCTTTGCTTTAGTTGTTATACTTCCAAAGGCTTGATGTACTCCCTATTACTTTTTTGGATTTAATTTGCAGTGTTCTAGGTTTTTGATGTGGAAGCATAGATAATTGATTTTTACTTCTTATATATGCATTTAAAACATTAGGGCTTTTCTTGTAATCTTAGCTTTAATTCAGTTTTGTTACCATTCAGTTAAAAAATATTTTAAAATTCTTTCTGTGATTTCTTTTTAGACCCATGGGTTAATTAGAAGTATATTGCTTAATTTCTGGCATGTGGGGCTTTTTAGTTATTTTTTTTGTTACTGATTTCATTCTTTGAAATGTACTGTCTTGTTTAGTTATCTCAGCATTTGGTACTTTGGTAAATGTTTTATGTGCCCTTGAGAGGAATGTGTGTTTTGCTGTTGTGGATTGTAATGTTTGATATAGGTCAGTTACGTCATATTTATCACTTAACGCTATTCACGTCTTCTCTATCCTTACTGATTTTGTTGCCACCTTTTTCATCATTTTCCGAGAGAGGTAGGTTAATCTCCAGGTATGATTATGGACTTGGCTATTTGTTCTTTACATTCTGTTTTTGCTCTCCGTATATTGAGGCTATACTACTCAGGTCATATAAGTTAAGGGTCATTATGTTTTTGTGGAATTGACCTTGTCCTCATTATGAAATGTTCCTCTTTATTTCTAGTAATGTGTTTGGGCTTCCAGTTTAGTTTGTCTGATTTTAATACAGACACATCAGCCATCTTATGGCTGCATGGTATATCTTGTTCTGCTTTTTTCTTTAAGTGTTTCTTTGTTTTTCTATTTAAAATATCCCTTGTATAAGCAGCAAGTAGTTGGGTTTTGTTTTTTATCCAATTTGATAAATGTTGTCTTTTAATTTTAGTATTATGTTGATTTACATTTGTTGTAATTAGAGATAAAGTTGGGGTTAAAGCCATCATCCCCTAGTTGTTTATCATTTGATTTCCTCCCCCCTTTTTCTTTCCCTCCTTTGGATTATTCAGGAAATTTTTTGTTACTCAGTTTTTCCCCCCCAGGGTTATTAAGACACTTTTATTACCCAAGTGATTTTTCTAGAGCTTATAATATGCATCCTTGACTTATTAGAGCCTAGCCTTATATTAGTAGTTTACTTTTTCTAGGTAACATAAGAACCTTACAATACTTTGACTCCATTTATGCCTTCCTGTCTTTTCTTTTTGTTGTGGTTGAATACTTTACAACATACTATTTTGTATTATTTTGCCAGTAGTATCCCTTTTTTTAAAAAAAATTAATTCCAGTATAGTTAAAATATAGTGTTACATTACTTTCAGGTGTATAATACAATGATTCAGCATTTCTGTACATTACTCAGTGCTCATCATGATAAGTGTACTCTTAATCCCCTTCATCTTAATCATATCACCCATTCCCCCAACCTTCTCTCCTCTAGTAACCACCAGTTTGTTCTCTATAGTTAAGACTGTTCCTTGGTTTGTCTCTCTTGTTCTGTTTTGTTTCTTAAATTACACATATGAGTGAAATCATCTGGTATTTGTCTTTCTCAGACTGGCTAATTTGGCTAAGCATTATACTCTCTGGATTCATCCATGTTGTTGTAAACGTCAAGATTTCATTCTTTTTTATGGCTGAGTAGTATCTGGTGTGTGTGTGTGTGTGTGTGTGTTTTCCACATATTTATCCAGTGTGTGTGTGTGTGTGTGTGTTTTCCACATATTTATCCAGTGTGTGTGTGTGTGTGTGTTTTCCACATATTTATCCAGTGTGCGTGTGTGTGTGTGTGTGTGTGTTTTCCACATATTTATCCAGTCATCTATCAGTAGACACTTGGGCTGCTTCTATGGCTATTATAAATAATGCTGCAGTAAACATAGGAGTGCAAATAACTTTTTGAATTAGTGTCTTTGTAGTCTTTGTGTAAAGAGCCAGTGGCAGAATTATTGCATCATATGGTAATTCTGTATTTAATTTTTTGTAGAAACACCATTCTGTTTTCTCTAGTGTTTGCACCAGTTTGCATTCCCATCAACAGTGCACAAGGGTTCCTTTTTGTCCACATTCTGGCCAACACTTGTTTCCTGTGTTCTTGATTTTAACCATTCTGACACGTATGAGAGGTGAAATCTCATTGTGGTTTTCATTTGCATTTTTCTGAT